AGTATTCAGCCCACCTGGCTGCCACAGAACGCAAATCAACAGAGCTCTGTTTGCTCACTGTGCAAAACAGTAAATCCTACAATTTTTAGCACATCGTTTTTAAGTGAGCAGTCATTAAAAGTTAAACACTTGTTCATTGCTTAGGAATCCATGGAATCAATTCAACTGACAATTAATGGCTCTGGTTACCCACATAATTACTTACAGGCAGATTTTTCTGCTAAACCCAGAGTGGTCCCAGCTAATTAACTAGTAAGTGGTTTTTTTTAATTCAACAAATAAACTCACACTACAAACTGATGAGAATGTATCAGTGTGAGAAGACTGAGTGCTGGGAAACATCTTTCTTAGTTTACATAGAGACATCAATCATCTTTTTATTCTGATTTACTGAGCTGTAAACCAAGAGGATGGTTGCTTATCTTGCAGTGATTGTGACCTAACTGCAGTGCAATGTGGGCAGCAGGGAATGTAACACTACAAAACCGAACAATGTAAACTTTCCCTAAGCTGGAAACAAATACAAGCTAAAGGAAGGCAGAGGCGGGGTGGGAGGATGGGAAAGAGTGAACTACAATGCTATTTGAATGCTTTATGAAATGCTGAAAACCACAGTCAACAAGCTTGCAAGAAGGTTTCGGTTTAAAAAACTGGCTGAATGTGGAAACTGGGACCAGATCTACAGAAATAAAGTCACTAAAGAGGATGCAGCCAACATACTGGAGGGCAAATCCACCTTCCAGAAGGACCTATGTGGACTGGAGGAAAGGCCAACAGCAAGCTGAGGAGGCCCAGCAAGGCCAAATGCAAAGCCCTGCTGCTGGGACATGCCCATCCCCGGCACAGGGACAGTCCCAGATGCCAGGCTGGGAACAACACTGCTGGGAAGGCCTTGGGACAAAGAGAGCTTGAGGGAACACGGCTTATTGGTGGAGAGAAGGCTTTGGGGGAAAACCCAAAAGCAGTCCCCCATTACTGATGAGGTTACTGAGAGGATAAGGCCTTCTTGGAGGTGCGTGACAAGAGAACATGAGATTGAGCTCATAAGCTGAAACTGGGGGGAAGTCTGACTGCATATATGGAAAAATGTGGGTAATGTGGGTAACTAAGCTTTGGAGCATCCAACATCACTTGATGACAACTGTAAGAAACTCATGATTGGCAAAACTGAAGCCTTACAAAATTGATCACAGGGATGAGGAAGTCACTTGAATGTACCATTTAACGTGAACAAATACAGGGGTCCTGTCTCTGAAAAACTGCTTGAAAGTCACATGAGATGGCAGGCAGCATCCTCTCACTGAAAAAGCCTTTTGATCACTTCTGTAGATGCTAAGAAGGTAGCTTTTGGATATTAGAGGGCTAGCAAGCTGAATACTGAGATAATTTCTTTGTCCAGCATTTGTGAAAAGGGATGTTGCTGGCGCTGCCTAAATTTGTTTTATGGCCTTCCAAAAAGTTACTGACATCTTGTGAAGTGTGTGGGGAAGAACTGTAGAATTACTAAAGCTGCATAAACAATCACATGTGCTTTAAGAAAACAGTTCTTGTAGAAGTGACTTGATTACTGGCTGAATGAAACTGGAAGAGAAAAAGCTCAGTAGCTGAGAGCTCCATCCTCAAGTTGAAGGAAGCCCCAAGGGCTGGAAGCTGAAGCTGCACTAACTCAGATCTCAGCCTAGACACAGTTTTGTTTTTTTTTAAAGCAGTTAATTGAAAAACTTGAGCTCTGAATTTTGTATCATTTTTACATCTTGGAACAAGGCTGCTTTCCCAAAAGCCACAACTACATGCTCAGGTATAAGCCACAGTTTTAATGCAGAATTGAAGAGGTCCCTTAGGCAAGAAGGGATTTTAACTGTCCCTCCCAGACTGATCGGCAACACAAGCGTTCACCGCACAACTGTTTTCCAAGAATCGGTAGCAAGGACTGGATATCTGTGATGTGACTCCTTCCAGCATCTGCAAGACAGTGTGATATTTGAGGACTTAATACCAGCTTATGTAACGGGACAAACTCCAGACTCACATTGTCAATAACTAGAAGCAGGCTTCAGATGAGCTGTTAAGCTCTTGGGCAGCCTCACTTAGCCTGGAAGGTCAGCAAAAGGGATCCTAGCATTTCAAATCTGAAATTACATCAGTGAAGTACTGAGTCATCTCCTCCCAGAGAACCACAGAAGACAGGTCGAGGTACGTGTGGTTTGGCTGGTACAAGCTGCATACTCCCACACTGTTCAATGACCCAAGGCATTCTCTTACAGCATCTGTTAGACACAGATGTTTGTATACAAAGCTATGTGTATGCAGATACATTGCACATGTGTTTGTATACAGATTGTGCATGTGGGCATATATATTACATCCACACTATTTGTATAATCATAATACCTATAAAAAAATGTCCCAGGGAAAATTCATGGGCATTCCCATATTAACCACACTGTGCACGCCAAGGATTTTCTTAAGAGACAGGACAGGACCACAGCAGCTTGACTTCCCAGGAAAGTGCTTATAGGCTACAGGACACCTACGCCCAAGACAGACCAGAACCAACTCATGCTGCAATTACATCCTTTGAGGCTAACTGTAAAAGCAGCTGCTTCTCTCCCTTACATAATTTACTCTCTCTAGATCAGCATCATTGGCTTTGTCTTCATGTTGCTGTTAAGACATACTATGGAAAATTAACACTACATGGTGCTGTCACTATCAATTAAATACCTAAACTAAATTCAGGCAAGCTCAAAAAAAAAGTATAGGAATTTAACAGATACCTGTGAAGAGACTACTTAAGTTCACTAAACAAAAAAATGTGTATTTCAAAGATAATTTTAATTTAGAAGACTGTCAAAAAAACCCACTTGATTTCCCTTTCACTCCTTCCATAGCTGCTGTTATCTGGAAAAAAAAACCCAAACTCCTCCATGTTATTAGTGCAACAGTACCTATTTTGAGTGCCCATTTCTCTGTTTTTGATTGAGGTGTGTTTTTAAAAGCAGGCAACATCTTCCTTTTTTTGTGGCTTGCTAAGACTTCCAGTTTCTGAACGAGGCTGAGAGATGCAGGACAGCGATTTCTTGGCATTTCACTGGGCTCTGAGAAGAGGACACTCCCATTCCTCTGGTCTGAGACCAAAGCACTGTAAGTCTCACCTGTCACAGCCCCGGCACATCTGACACAAGACTCTGCTAGTAGTATGGGAGCATTCTCCTTAAGAAAACCTACTCAGACACTGATTTCCCTCAGGCAGTTAGGAGGAATCAAATGCCAAATTTGACTCTCAGCAATATGTGCGTAGCCTCCCTCCCAAAGAGCTAGAAATTGCCCTGGCAAGATATTAGAGAATAATTCATTCTGACAACACAAACAAAATAATTCAGTCTGCTACCTTCACTACAGTAGATTTGTTTCTCAGGCTGTATCCCCTCTGTGACACTTCCAGTGTTTTATGGCTTGGAAGGCTTTCTGGCACTCTCTGCCAAAATGATAAAGCAAAACCATTTTAAAAAACCTCTTTCAGAGTAGATGTCTACTAAATTTTTCTCACCTTAAGCTTAAGTCTTCTCCTAGCTCTACAAATACTGACAAACACCAGAACAACTATAAGACAAGGGTCAGAATTTTTTCAGTGGTGCCCAGTGACAGCAGAACAGGTAACAGGCACAAACTAGAACGCAGGAGGCTCCATCTGAACAGAAGAAAAAGATTTCTTTCCTGTGAGGGTGCCCGGGCCTGGAGCAGGCTGCCCAGACAGGTTGTGGAGTCGTCTTCTCTGGAAAGATTCCAAACCTCCCTGGGCACAATCTTGGCCAACCCTGCTGTGGGTGACCCTGCTTTAGCAGGGGGTTGGACGAGATGATCCCCAAGACGTCCCTTCCAACCCCCACCATGTTGTGATTCTGTGAAGATCTCATTAAATAAGAAAATATCTGGAAGATGAACTTGTAATCCTGATGCTTCCTCTTGAAAAAATGAGATAAATTAGATGCACTGCCTGATTTTGCATTTTCAATGAACTCTTCAACACTTACCTGGAAAATTTCTTCAATATTTATGGTTAACTTCAACAAAAGCATCCAAAGAGTTTGATTAAAATGAGAGATCTTGAACGTGCCAAGCGAAACTTTTATAGGCTTAAAGTATGCACCAATGTAATGTAACGTGACCCAACTTCAGAGATAAGGGGGAATTGGTACTTTGTTCACCTCTACCTAGAATCATAGAAAGGTTCAGGTTGGAAGGGACCTTGAAGGCCATTTAGTTCCAACCCCTCCTCCCAGAGTCAGGGACATCTTCAAATAGATCAGGTTGCTCAGGACCCCATCCAATCAGATCCTGAACACATTCCAGTGATGGAGCATCCACAGCTTTCCTGAGCAATCACCACTCTCAATCACAGTTGAAAGGTATATCTCACAGAGGTTCACCAGGCCACTAATTAATTACCATGGTTTGCTTTGCCCAGCCCATAACACACATAGAATAAATAGTTTTAGTAAAAAGCAAATAAAGTTTCCATTCTTGTCTTTCAAACATGCCCAGATTAATAAGCAAGCTCCTGGCTTAATAAAAGCATGCAGCGTGTAAGAGCTGTGAAGAAACAAGTTGCATTTTAAAAGAGACAGAGAAGGACGAGATCTCTTTATGGGCCTTTAAAGGTAAAAGCTACTCACATAGCTACACCCAGCGAATTCACTATCATGGACAGAACACACACAGCTTCAAGGAAAGTCTCAGAAACAAAAAGGGAAAGATCATCTCTTTTGGGAATGTGGTTATATTATGGTCTACAGTTCTAGCATATGGTGTATTGAGCTCTACTGTGCCAAGTCTGCTTTCCCAGATACAGCACATTTTGTCTGATTTGCTGACACAGTGAGTCACTGGAGTGCCTGGAGTACCAGCTCGAACGCTTTAGGAGGAGTGACTGGGAATCGCCAAGCACAGGACGTGTGTTTGTTTAGGAACAACCTGCTTTAAATAAACTGCTGACTCACCTTGTCACGCAAATGATGCTCTGCAGCCTCAATATTCAAAGGATCGTCAAAATTCAGAAGATCCTGGAAAAGAAACAGAGAACACTATAGGGTTCCCACTCAGTGCAGCATACGAGGAATCCAAAGCCCTAATGAACCAGCTAATAAACAAAGCAAACAAGACCAGCAAGTGTAGTGGCATTCTCTCACTCCCTTGATAGGTATCCTGGCCAGCAAACAAGTTTGATGACTGCAGACCAAATCACAAATCAATTAAAGGACGACAGCAACAGGCCATTCAACCCTCTCTGGCAGCACACCACACACAGCCCTGTGATGCTTCTCTCAGGCAGTGATGCATTTCTACATGAAATATGACAGAGTTTTAAATCAAATTTTGAAAAAACACTTGAAGTTTCAGAGGGTGCAATTCCTGTTGGTTTTTGTTCAAGAGTAAAGTGAACCCTTGAAAAAACCTTGTGAATAGCCTGGTGATAAAGCAAGAAGAACTTCCTGAACGCTGTTCTCCAAAGCAAAGCAATTTAATTCCCTCTGTGAAGAAACTGCATAACCTGGAGCCTGACAAACAGCAAAGTTTTAGTGCAATGGGGAAGGCTGTGCAAAGGCCCCATGAGTTAAGGGCACATGGGGGCAAGTAAGCAGAAATCATCAACATACATCTCAGGTCTGCCAGTTCAACCTCAATAAATATTAGCTTTGGAAGGAGAAAGGGTCTAGTGTTAAAGCCAAAGGAAACCAAGATGCTGATAGACAAGGAATTATGATTAAAGAAATCACATTGGGTCACAATCCCCCCACTCTGCCTGCAGCCCAGATCACTTTCCCTAGTGTCAGGCCAGCCTGTGACAGCAAATGCCACCATTTCACAAGTGTGAAAGGCCTGTGTCATTCTCTGACTCGTTTTTAAGCAGCAAACCTCACGTTTCACTCAAACTAGGACACTAATCCACCTGATTTTCACTTACTTTCTTCAAGAAAACCTCAAAAGAATCTGTGAGACAGTACAATCCAGTGCCAGCTTTTCAAAGCCCAATTATTTATAAGAAGCTGGGTGCGAGTGAAATACAAAAGGCAGGCTTGGAAGCACAGCTCTAACTGGCCATGACAAATCCCCGTGGTCTCTGAACCCTGACCATGGCTCTTTGCAGCTGTTTGCCCAACAGATTATTTTTATGGGCAGTTCTGCTTCTGAAGGCAATTCTTTGTACCTCCAGTGGATTTTGCTTTCTTCCAGTTACTTAGCATGCAGTGGGAGACTAACTGTGAAATGCAATTACTCCTTGTTGTGAAGGCAAATGCTCTCTAATCTTCTAAATCAATCTACCAAAGAAGCTGTTGAAAAAAATAAAGCCTTTGGATATCATAAAAGCTTAGGAGATTGTAGCCAGTCACTGGCTTAGCCTATCCTAGAGGTTTTAGAAACACAGTATGATCCTGGTGATAGTGCTGGGAGCACAGCAACTGTTCTGCCCCTCGGTAGAAGGAAATCCTCTCTAAGAAAACAGGCTGTGGCTAGCAAAGCCCACAGTGATGCTCCCCATCCAAAGCTTTTCAGAGCAACCTCTGTACAGCCTGAAGTGGCTAGAATAATTCTCTCCAAAGACAATGACAAATGTGTTGACCAAGCTGGTGCCTTTCTTTGCTTTCCCCTGACCATCCTACCAGTAGCAATGGCTGTGGAAGGTGACCATAATATGCTGGACCATAATAAAGGCAGCTATACGGCAAAGACTTAATCTCTCTCCACTTCTAGGGCAAAAGCAACTCTTGCATCTTGCCTGCCTCTTGCAACTTCCTGTCCTCTCCAATTTCACATTGCTCCTGTAATTGAGAGGCTCAGGCTTCTCGCTCCTATCAATCTAAGAAAAAACAGGAAATGAGATCCCTCAAAATCATATCCTTTCTGTGACAAGTCAGGGTTTATGCAAATTCTGCAGGTAGGTACCAAGGCCCTTGAACAGAAATGCAAGTGTTTAAAAGAGGAACAAGACTGCAGGCCAGTCGTTAATTCCTAAACATTATTTTTAAAAAATGCAACACCAACATAACTTCTTCTCAGAGCAACATGAATTTCTAATTCCTGCAAACCAGCAGATGTAATTTCATACTATGGAGAAGATCCCAAACAATTTATTACCAAAATATCCCATAACAGCTTTGTAACAAAAAGTAAAACCAAATGTATGAAAAAGCTGGCATTTCAGACCATCTGTATCAGTCCCACAGTTACACAAACAAAAGCCCAAAATGATTTCACACTTGTACAATACCCACTGAAGCCAAAGGAAATAACGACCTTAAGTTTAAGAGGTAACAGATGGGGTTCACATTAGGTGATGCTGAAACCAAACCAGGCAGGGAGGAGGAAAGTGGGGATGCAAAATATTGATTTACTTACAGTAAATAAAGAGTTTAACCCCCAGACGACATCCTGCAAAAGGAAAGCAAGTCAGTTAGGCATGCATTTCAGGGGTTTGGAACACGTCCACGTACTTTTTTCTTCTGTTAGTTCATGAAATAACTGGAAATCAATTGCAGATTACGGGTGTTTTGCTAATTGATCTTTCTGCGTGTACTGGAGCCTTATTCCTGTCGCTTTGCTGCTCAAGGAGCAGAATACTGAATAATACCTTACTATACATCACCAACTGCACTGCTTAGTTCAAATGGTGTGCACAAAACTTAATTAAGGAATACATTTTTAAAATTAAAATTTTGTCAGACATTTGAAACTGTGTCAAGATAAAAGACTTAAGTGTAGTATGAGTATGGAGAAATAGCATTCTTATATAGACATATGTCTCAAGTTGTTTTCCTGCCTTTCAGTATCTGTTTAAACACAGCTGAATGGAGAGGGTTTGCAATTCCTGCAAATGAGAAGCTTTAGGGGAATCTGCCTCCAACTGATGTCATCCAACACAGCTTAGTTTGGGGTGGGCATCTCCAAAAGGGTTCCACTAGCACTGACCCAAGAGTCCAAATCCTCAGAACCTCCAGAGAATCAGAAAACATACAAGATCCAAGTATTACAGAAAGAGACCTAAAAACATTGCCTACCTCAAACTCCAAGGTTCTTTTCTACCTAGAGGAATCATAGAATCCTTTGTTGGAAGAGATCATTAAGATCATCAGGTCCAACCATTAATCCAGCACTGCCAGGGCACCTAAACCATGTCGCTCAGCACCACATCTCCACAGCTTTTCAGTCTGTCCAGGGATGGGGACGCCACCCCTACCCTCAGCAGCCTTGGCCAAGGTTTGACAACCCTTTTGGTGAAGAAAAGACTATTTCCTTTAGCAGCAGCATAATTAAGCTGCCCTACTGCAAAACCCCCCTGAAGTCTGGGCAGTGAGTTCACATCTACCAGACAATTAACTAAGATGAGCACTGCACCTCCTGCCCTCACAGCCTGCTAGCTCTTGACTGCCTACCTGTGGAAACACATTATCTGATTTCCACTAGTGGGAAAAATGCTGTGCATGAATTGTTTCATGGCTAAAATGTACCTTACACAATAAAGATAAAGCCTCAAAGCAAAAACTTTCCATCCATGGCAAAGGAACTTCAATAAACGAGTGCATTTGAGTTTTGTTTTCTGTTCTGGGCCCTCTGCTGAGAGTGGTGGAACACAGAAATCCATATCCCTTAAGAACACTATCCAATTATGCTCTAATGGAAGAGACACAATGTCAGCATTATCTGGACAACAGGCTCTCGCGATCCAATTTTCCTTTGATCTTGCACAACCAACCTACTCAGTTTATCTGCTTTTAATAATGTGAATCTGTCCAGCAAAGCTGATATTGTCAGACAGTGTTTTCAGTTTCAGCATCTTTAAAGGGTGCATTAAGAAGAGTGTGGCCAGCAGGTCAAGGGAGGTTCTCCTCCCCTTCTATTCTGCTCTAGTGACACCACCTCTGGAGTAGTGTATCCACTGTTCCCCAGCTCAAGACAGACAAAGAACTACTGCAGACAGTTCAGCAGAGGCTGCAAGGATGCTGAGGGGACTGCAGTATCTCGTTGAGGAGGAAAGGCTGAGAGACCTGAGGCTGTTTAGCCTGGACAAGAGAAGACTGAGAGGGGATCTTCTCAATACTCATCAATATTTAAAGGGCAAGGGCTCAAAAGGACGGGGCCAGACTCTTGTCAGTGGTGCCCAGCAATGGGACAAGGGACAATGGGCACAAACTGGAACCTAGGAGGCTGCATCTGAGCAGGAGAAAAACCTTCTTTTCTGGGAGGGTGATGGAGCTCTGGACCAGGCTGCCCATAGAGGTTGTGGAGTAACCTTCTCTGGATAGCTTCCAAACCTGCCCGGACATGATTGTGGGTGACCCCCCCTGCTTTAGCAGGGGGGTTGGATGAGATGACCACCAGAGGTCTCTTCCAACCACTACAAGTCTGTCATTCTGTGATCTCCTAACAGCTTCTGAAATCATCAGGTGTGGTAACTCTTTCAACTGTACTCATCACCTTCAGTGGCAGCACAGATACACAAAGTGCAATAAAAGGACCCACCTGAGACACCCAAGAACTGCAGCTACCCTTGCTTTGTAAGGCTGTAGTGCTGAGCAGTTGTCCCTGCTCCAGACAGCTGTACTGTCAGTTCCCTGAAATGGACTATTTCAAACAGCAGATGAGAGTTGTTATTTTACCCTTCAAGTTCTGTGCTTGTTCAACTACAACTACTGTCCTGGAAACTGGGCATAGCAGAGGTTAGCAAAAACACACAAAGGAAACCTGTACTAAGCAATCCTGGGATAAACTATTTGTGCAGTGGTGCTAGTGGAAGGATAAGCCCAAGTCACTGACTAAAGGAAGATTTCAGTGGTGTGGAGAGCCCTCAGCATGGATGCAGCCTGAGGGCTGACTGGTGTGGGCTGTGTGAACAGGGACAGCTCAGAGTGTCTCTGTCATCAGCCAGCCACTCTGCCCCAGCAGATCTCTGACCCCTGAGGGTCAGGAGTTCCTTCCACTGCTGCCCTCAAAGGCTGTATTGTCCTGCAGGGAAGCAGAGTGAATGTCTTGGGGCTGTTAAGAACTTCTTGGGTCTGAGTTTAACCCACTGTGTTTCCCACAACCTTACTAAAGCACAGTAATTTGCTTTCTTTCACTTAGAGGAGCAGGAATAAATTAACTTTTCAAGGGCCATGACCCATACTACATGACAGCAGACTGTGGCTGGAGAACGTGATGCAGAATTATGACACTGAGCATTAAAAAACACCATAAAGAGGTATGAGGAGCTCACAGTCACACACTGGAGTCTGTCCATTTCTAAGTCCTCCCTGAGTGCCAAAACGTCATTCATAGGGTTGCAAACTGTTCACAACTGTTCAACCACTTGGCAACGTGGTTAAAAAGAAACAGACAAAAAAAGAGCAGCTATGTCAGATTGATTCCAAAATCCTGCAGAGCTCACCTCCTCTTTACATTTAACAGAGCTGAAGCCCCCAGCCTCCCTGAGCCTCCCCAACAGAACACTTGCAGATTGTCTCTCCAGACAGAAGAGCTGCTCCAGAGCAAGCAGCAACGAGCCAGGTCTTTCACTCAGAAATGTTGCAACTCAAAATTGATATCAAACTGTTTTCCATTCTGTAAATGCTCATTTGTGAAATTTACCTAAGCAGCCCCCAAATTCTCATTTGCCGAACGCTGTTTTTAAGACTTTGGGACACCTGACTCATTCAGGTTGGTGTTGCACAGAATTCTATCAAAAAAAAAACCAAACCCAATCAAACAACAAAAAAAAAAGAACACTCCAGCAAAAACTCTGTAAGGCTGTGAGTTTCAGAGTGCTTTACATTTTCAGTCATTCTCGACACCAAAGAGCGTAACAAGTTTATTATTATTACTGAATAACTTACGTGTGAAATTCCTAATATAATTTCTGATGTTTCCACCTATTCAAGTGTTATTATTTGCTGGATTCATTTCATACCCATGCAGGGCTGCATTAAAAAAAAAAACTGCTAAATTACTACCAGAGGGCAACACTTTTTATAACGAGTTTGAGGCTAGCCTGGATTTAAATCTATTTAAATTGAGAAGGGGAAGCAAGATGGAACAGATGAGCAAGAGCAAAGCAAATCTTTCATATTTGAAAAACTTGACACTGTTGCATTGCAAAAATAATCACTTTGCATTACTGACTTCAGCAGAGCTGCTTGCTGCATGCAGATAAGCACTTGCCTGAACACTTGCTCCACATTTTCCTGACGAACTAAAAAGGATCTGCAAGCTACCAAAGATCCTGTCAAATTTCACAGTTGAAAAACTTCCATTTTGTTTTAATGTAATAAAGTACCATCCTTGGCTTCAAACACTTACTGAACTTCTGGCTTAAATACTCTGGAAACAGAAAGTTAACCCTATATACATTAATTTTTAAAGGTTATCTTCACAGGTAGCAGCAGAGCAGACATCACCTTAAGATGTTACTAACGCACACCTTTATGCTGCTCCACTTTAAGGAGAGAATCTATTTGCAAAAGGAGAATGAGACATAAGAATTTGCCTATTCTGACAAGGTAATTTCCTTTACAATGCTGCTTTTTGTTTACTTTCTTCTACATCCTTAACACCAAAGCTACAGAATACAAGTACACCCACTACTGGGGGTTAACCTCAGAGCAAAACCAAGGACCTCGAGCTTTTTGTAACCAAACAGCACACTCTGCTCAGGATGGACCCTGCAGAAAAGCTGCAGAACTCCCCAACCCTCTCTGTCTGGTTTCTCCTCTAGCTGTGACCCCTTCCCCTGTCCCTCTCCTCTTCCAGAGGCTTTGCATCAGCACAGATGTCACCCACAAGGTTCGATGCCTTTGGACGCCAGCTACATGTCTCAGTGGTTTTAATTCACATCTACTGTGTTAGTTCGGAGGACTCAAGTATGACACTTGAACTAAAGAGCCAGGGTTCCCAAGCAGAGCAGTGTCTGCTTAAATCCACCCCGCGGGTAAGAGGAAGAGGGCATAATGAAGGGAACTCTGCTCCATGGCACTGTCACCATTTTGAGCTCAAGCATGGGGAAGTGAACACAAGCAAGGCAGAAGATCAACAGACTGTTATAAATAAACTTTTATAATCGCCCCTTTTCATTCCCGAGTATTTTTGTGTTGCATTTGAGTGAAAACTTACATAAAACCCCTGCCCACAGATTTATTTACAGCATGCCAAATGAGGAAAAAAAACCTCTGCCACTGCAGCAATGTTTACAGTTCAAGAGCAATGAATCAAAATCCTAAATACAGGTTTTGAAACAGCCTCTCCTGGGGCTAGAGAGTCTCAAAGCATGGCATTTGTAGGAGGTCCTCATTCAGTTAGTCACCAAATCTTCCTCAGTGGCAGTTCTCACAACCACTTCACAAAGGCAATGCCACTGAAACCAAGTCCCAGACAAGCATTTAGGTGTGCTGGCTGATGTTTGG